GATGGAATTTTCGAATGGCCGGAGAGATGAATGGATGGAGTGTGGGAGGGCGATTGATTGTAAGCAATTTCAGCCCGGCCTAGGGCCTAGCTTCCTCGTTGACTATCTACTCGGCTAAGCTCTTGCTGTTAGCTATCCACTGGCCATCACAGTCTGGTTGGTCTTACACTTGACTAAGTGATCCCGTTTCTTCTTGACATCACCTACACTTTTTCCAGCAACATTCCTGATAGCTGTTGGTAACAGGTTGATGAGTCGTGGACCACGGATACTGACAGTGTTCTCTGGCTGTGCCCGTGACTTTCCTACTACTCAACACTGTAGAAGTCTTCTTCACATTTTCTTCTATATCTTTCACTCTGTAGATTTTGGCCCTCCAATACATTCCAGATATATATTATCAGATATTTCTTCTTCAGGTATTTCTTCCAGATATATATTTATCAGGTATTTCTTCTTCAGAAATTACCAGTAAATTAAAGACTGTATTCAGAGTGTGCAGGCATTAAATGATCTTCATATTTTCCAGCTCTGATGTCTCTCTTGCCTTGAATAAGGTTGTGATCATATAATAATTTCAGACGTGAGTTATCCTTTTTGTTTTGAAAGTTCTTGTTATCCACCTTGTTAAATTTTGTGTGGCCTTCGCTGCATATTCCTTTTATTCTCTAAATAATGCATCACCTGACATTATTCCTAAGTCTTTTACCCGTTCTTACGTTCTATGTTGACAACACTATATTTCTGGAGGGTGTAGTTGACATACAGGACGTAAGTACATACATAAATGATGTGTGTGTGTGTGTGTGTGTGTGTGTGTGTGTGTGTGTGTGTGTGTGTGTGTGTGTGTGTGTGTGTGTGTGTGTTGTGCCGAATAGGTAAAACCTGCGATTTTGGCTTAAATAGCAACGCTATTCTTGCCGAATAAGGAAAGCGAAAATCTGCAAATACAATAATTTCGCAAACATCATTCTGAACCTATCGGAAAAAATATATATCATTGTGTTTGTTAATTATTAAATTATTGTAAACTTATCTAAAATATATTTAGTTGAATTAGGCTAAATTAAATTGCGCTTGTTTTAACATGGTTACGTAAGTTCTCTAAGGTTCTTTCGTACAACATTATTAATTTTTACAATAACATACGTGAAAAAAAATATATCTTTAAACGTATAAGAGAAAATTTTAGAAAGGACTTAATTTTAAATGAGCTCTTGCTGACTATATATATATATAATATATATATATATATATATATATATATAATATATATATATATATATTTATATATATATATATATATATATATATATATATATATATATATATATTATATATATATATATATATATATATATATATATATATATATATATATATATTTTATTATTTTATTATTATCACACTGGCCGATTCCCACCAAGGCAGGGTGGCCCGAAAAAGAAAAACTTTCACCATCATTCACTCCATCACTGTCTTGCCAGAAGGGTGCTTTACACTACAGTTTTTAAACTGCAACATTAACACCCCTCCTTCAGAGTGCAGGCACTGTACTTCCCATCTCCAGGACTCAAGTCCGGCCTGCCGGTTTCCCTGAACCCCTTCATAAATGTTACTTTGCTCACACTCCAACAGCACGTCAAGTATTAAAAACCATTTGTCTCCATTCACTCCTATCAAACACGCTCATGCATACCTGCTGGAAGTCCAAGCCCCTCGCACACAAACCTCCTTTACCCCCTCTCTCCAACCTTTCCTAGGCCGACCCCTACCCGCCTTCCTTCCACTACAGACTGATACACTCTGAAGTCATTCTGTTTCGCTCCATTCTCTCTACATGTCCGAACCACCTCAACAACCCTTCCTCAGCCCTCTGGACAACAGTTTTGGTAATCCCGCACCTCCTCCTAACTTCCAAACTACGAATTCTCTGCATTATATTCACACCACACATTGCCCTCAGACATGACATCTCCACTGCCTCCAGCCTTCTCCTCGCTGCAACATTCATCACCCATGCTTCACACCCATATAAGAGCGTTGGTAAAACTATACTCTCATACACTCCCCTCTTTGCCTCCAAGGACAAAGTTCTTTGTCTCCACAGACTCCTAAGTGCACCACTCACTCTTTTTCCCTCATCAATTCTATGATTCACCTCATCTTTCATAGACCCATCCGCTGACACGTCCACTCCCAAATATCTGAATACATTCACCTCCTCCATACTCTCTCCCTCCAATCTGATATTCAATCTTTCATCACCTAATCTTTTCGTTATCCTCATAACCTTACTCTTTCCTGTATTCACCTTTAATTTTCTTCTTTTGCACACCCTACCAAATTCATTCCCCAATCTCTGCAACTTCTCTTCAGAATCTCCCAAGAGCACAGTGTCATCAGCAAAGAGCAGCTGTGACAACTCCCACTTTGTGTGTGATTCTTTATCTTTTAACTGCACGCCTCTTGTCAAGACCCTCGCATTTACTTCTCTTACAACCCCATCTATAAATATATTAAACAACCACGGTGACATCACACATCCTTGTCTAAGGCCTACTTTTACTGGGAAATAATTTCCCTCTTTCCTACATACTCTAACTTGAGCCTCACTATCTTCATAAAAACTCTTCACTGCTTTCAGTAACCTACCTCCTACACCATACACTTGCAACATCTGCCACATTGCCCCCCCTATCCACCCTGTCATACGCCTTTTCCAAATCCATAAATGCCACAAAGACCTCTTTAGCCTTATCTAAATACTGTTCACTTATATGTTTCACTGTAAACACCTGGTCCACACACCCCCTACCTTTCCTAAAGCCTCCTTGTTCATCTGCTATCCTATTCTCCGTCTTACTCTTAATTCTTTCAATAATAACTCTACCATACACTTTACCAGGTATACTCAGCAGACTTATCCCCCTATAATTTTTGCACTCTCTTTTATCCCCTTTGCCTTTATACAAAGGAACTATGCATGCTCTCTGCCAATCCCTAGGTACCTTACCCTCTTCCATACATTTATTAAATAATTGCACCAACCACTCCAAAACTATATCCCCACCTGCTTTTAACATTTCTATCTTTATCCCATCAATCCCGGCTGCCTTACCCCCTTTCATTTTACCTACTGCCTCACAAACTTTCCCCACACTCACAACTGGCTCTTCCTCACTCCTACAAGATGTTATTCCTCCTTGCCCTATACACGAAATCACAGCTTCCCTATCTTCATCAACATTTAACAATTCCTCAAAATATTCCCTCCATCTTCCCAATACCTCTAACTCTCCATTTAATAACTCTCCTCTCCTATTTTTAACTGACAAATCCATTTGTTCTCTAGGCTTTCTTAACTTGTTAATCTCACTCCAAAACTTTTTCTTATTTTCAACAAAATTTGTTGAAAACATCTCACCCAGTCTCTCATTTTCTCTCTTTTTACATTGCTTCACCACTCTCTTAACCTCTCTCTTTTTCTCCATATACTCTTCCCTCCTTGCATCACTTCTACTTCGTAAAAACTTCTCATATGCTAACTTTTTCTCCCTTACTACTCTCTTTACATCATCATTCCACCAATCGCTCCTCTTCCCTCCCGCACCCACTTTCCTGTAACCACAAACTTCTGCTGAACACTCTAACACTACATTTTTAAACCTACCCCATACCTCTTCGACCCCATTGCCTATGCTCTCATTAGCCCATCTATCCTCCAATAGCTGTTTATATCTTACCCTAACTGCCTCCTCTTTTAGTTTATAAACCTTCACCTCTCTCTTCCCTGATGCTTCTATTCTCCTTGTATCCCATCTACCTTTTACTCTCAGTGTAGCTACAACTAGAAAGTGATCTGATATATCTGTGGCCCCTCTATAAACATGTACATCCTGAAGTCTACTCAACAGTCTTTTATCTACCAATACATAATCCAACAAACTACTGTCATTTCGCCCTACATCATATCTTGTATACTTATTTATCCTCTTTTTCTTAAAATATGTATTACCTATAACTAAACCCCTTTCTATTCAAAGTTCAATTAAAGGGCTCCCATTATCATTTACACCTGGCACCCCAAACTTACCTACCACACCCTCTCTAAAAGTTTCTCCTACTTTAGCATTCAGGTCCCCTACCACAATTACTCTCTCACTTGGTTCAAAGGCTCCTATACATTCACTTAACATCTCCCAAAATCTCTCTCTCTCCTCTGCATTCCTCTCTTCTCCAGGTGCATACACGCTTATTATGACCCACTTCTCGCATCCAACCTTTACTTTAATCCACATAATTCTTGAATTTACACATTCATATTCTCTTTTTCCTTCCTAACTGATCATTTAACATATATATATATATATATATATATATATATATATATATATATATATATATATATATATATATATATATATATATATATATGTCGTGCCCGAATAGGCAGAACTTGCGATCTTGGCTTAATTAGCAACGTTCATCTGCCATATAGGACAAGTGAAAATTTGTGTATGCAATAATTTTGCAAAAATCATTCTGAACCTAACGAAAAAAATATATTTGATTGTGTTTGTTTAGTATTAAATTAGTGTAAACGTATTTAAAATATATTTAGTTGGGTTAGGCTAAAATAAATTGCTCTTGTTATAATAAGCTTAGGTAAGTTTTCTAAGATTCTTTTGGTGCAAAATTAAAATTTTTTACATTAACATTAATGAAAAAAATATCTTTAAACGTATAATACAAAATTTCAGAAAGGACTTAATTTTAAATGACTTTTTGCTAATTGACCAGTTTTACATATTCGGCACATATATATATATATACATATATATATATATATATATATATATATATATATATATATATATATATATATATATATATATATATATATATTGTGTGTGTGTGTACATAAATAAATGCATACAAGGATGGAGAGACGGGAGGTTGGAGGAGGATCAAGACAGCAAGAGCAGTCATATACTTACTCTCACAACGGAGGGCAGGCTTGTTGGTCATGGGTTTGCTACACACGTCACACGTCGCTGAGTTGCTGTAACACACTGACACGAACTGGTGAGAGCTCTTCTTGGTCTTGTCCTGCACGGGAAAACAACCTCATAATTAACATTTCATAACTAAATAACTAACTAACCCGGTTACAGGACCCACCCGGGCGTACTGACTTATACCTGCACTCTCTCTCTCTCTCTCTCTCTCCTCTCTCTCTCTCTCTCTCTCTCTCTCTCTCTCTCACACACACACACTGCAGTAGAGCTATGGGTGAGAAATGAAGAAAAAAGGTTAAGAGTAGGGAGAAAAAACATTCTGGGAGGAGCACATAACAAAATGAAAACCTGGAGAACCTCAAGTGAAGAAAAATAAATAAAAATAAATTTATGAGAACAAAGAAAAGACGTGAAGCAAATTGTAGTGTGCACACTGTAAAGTGAAGTGTGCACATTTTAAAGTGTAGTGTCCACATTGTAAAGTGTAGTGTGCACAGTGTAAAGTGTAGTGTCCACATTGTAAAGTGTAGTGTCCACATTGTAAAGTGTAGTGTGCACAGTGTAAAGTGTAGTGTGCACATTGTAAAGTGTAGTTTGCACAGTGTAAAGTGTAGTGTGTACAGTGTAAAGTGTAGTGTGCACAGTGTAAAGTGTAGTGTGCACAGTGTAAAGTGTAGTGTGCACAGTGTAAAGTGTAGTGTGCACATTGTAAAGTGTAGTGTCCACATTGTAAAGTGTAGTGTGCACAGTGTAAAGTGTAGTGTCCACATTGTAAAGTGTAGTGTCCACATTGTAAAGTGTAGTGTGCACAGTGTAAAGTGTAGTGTGCACATTGTAAAGTGTAGTGTGCACATTGTAAAGTGTAGTTTGCACAGTGTAAAGTGTAGTGTGTACAGTGTAAAGTGTAGTGTGCACATTGTAAAGTGTAGTGTGCACATTGTAAAGTGTAGTGTGCACAGTGTAAAGTGTAGTGTGCACATTGTAAAGTGTAGTGTGCACATTGTAAAGTGTAGTGTGCACATTGTAAAGTGTAGTGTGCACAGTGTAAAGTGTAGTGTGCACATTGTAAAGTGTAGTGTGCACATTGTAAAGTGTAGTTTGCACAGTGTAAAGTGTAGTGTGCACAGTGTAAAGTGTAGTGTGCACATTGTAAAGTGTAGTGTGCACATTGTAAAGTGTAGTGTGCACATTGTAAAGTGTAGTGTGCACAGTGTAAAGTGTAGTGTGCACATTGTAAAGTGTAGTGTGCACAGTGTAAAGTGTAGTGTGCACATTGTAAAGTGTAGTGTGCACATTGTAAAGTGTAGTGTGCACATTGTAAAGTGTAGTGTGCACAGTGTAAAGTGTAGTGTGCACATTGTAAAGTGTAGTGTGCACAGTGTAAAGTGTAGTGTGCACATTGTAAAGTGTAGTGTGCACATTGTAAAGTGTAGTTTGCACAGTGTAAAGTGTAGTGTGTACAGTGTAAAGTGTAGTGTGCACAGTGTAAAGTGTAGTGTGCACATTGTAAAGTGTAGTGTGCACATTGTAAAGTGTAGTGTGCACAGTGTAAAGTGTAGTGTGCACATTGTAAAGTGTAGTGTGCACAGTGTAAAGTGTAGTGTGCACATTGTAAAGTGTAGTGTGCACATTGTAAAGTGTAGTGTGCACATTGTAAAGTGTAGTGTGCACAGTGTAAAGTGTAGTGTGCACATTGTAAAGTGTAGTTTGCACAGTGTAAAGTGTAGTGTGTACAGTGTAAAGTGTAGTGTGCACAGTGTAAAGTGTAGTGTGTACAGTGTAAAGTGTAGTGTGCACATTGTAAAGTGTAGTGTGCACATTGTAAAGTGTAGTGTGCACATTGTAAAGTGTAGTGTGCACATTCTAAAGTGTAGTGTGCACATTGTAAAGTGTACTGTGCACATTGTAAAGTGTAGTGTGCACATTGTAAAGTGTAGTGTGCACATTGTAAAGTGTAGTGTGCACATTGTAGTGTAGTGTGCACATTGTAAAGTGTAGTGTGCACATTGTAAAGTGTAGTGTGCACATTGTAAAGTGTAGTGTGCACATTGTAAAGTGTAGTGTGCACATTGTAAAGTGTAGTGTGCACATTGTAAAGTGTAGTGTGCATAGTGCAAAGTTGGTATAAACCTTGGTAATAAATACCGACAAGTTGGTTTAGAAAGACACGTAAGTAAACACTATAACATATTTATTAGAAAACGTTTCGGTCCTGGGACCTTGATCACTTCTAACATACAGAGGTAGAAAGACATTATATACATAGGCAGAGAGTGAGGTGTGACGCACGTGACCTGAGGAATGTCATAAGAACATAAGAATGGAGGAACATTGTAGAAGGCCTACTGGCCCATGCGAGGCAGGTCCTTATCAAAACAACCTCTCCCTCATATATGCTAATGTTTTTGAAATTTTGTAGTTTCCAGTGTTGCGTTCTATAGTGTCGGTGACGGCGATTAGTGAGGCTTCTAGGCACCGTCGGCGTCTGAGGTCTGGTTCGGTGAGAACGAGTTGTGCCTCGTTCCAGTTCATCAAATGCCCCGTGGAGTCTCTGTGGAGGACACAGGCGTACCTTGCATCGTCTCTGTTAGAGGCATTTCGATGCTCATTCAGGCGGACTGCAAGATCTCTGCCTGTCTCGCCTACATATTTCTCTGCCTATATATATAATGTCTTTCTACCTCTGTATGTTAGAAGTGATCAAGGTCCCAGGACCGAAACGTTTTCTAATAAATATGTTATAGTGTTTGCTTACGTGTCTTTCTAAACCACATTGTAAAGTGTAGTGTGCACAGTGTAAAGTGTAGTGTGTACAGTGTAGAGTGTAGTGTGCACAGTGTAAAGTGTAGTGTGCAGTGTAAAGTGTAGTGTGCACAGTGTAGAGTGTAGTGTGCACAGTGTAAAGTGTAGTGTGCACATTGTAAAGTGTAGTGTGCACAGTGTAGAGTGTAGTGTGCACAGTGTAAAGTGTAGTGTGCACAGTGTAAAGTGTAGTGTGCACAGTGTAGTGTAGTGTGCACAGTGTAAAGTGTAGTGTGCACAGTGTAGTGTAGTGTGCACAGTGTAAAGTGTAGTGTGCACAGTGTAAAGTGTAGTGTGCACAGTGTAAAGTGTAGTGTGCACATTGTAAAGTGTAGTGTGCACAGTGTAAAGTGTAGTGTGCACAGTGTAAAGTGTAGTGTGCACAGTGTAGAGTGTAGTGTGCACAGTGTAAAGTGTAGTGTGCACAGTGTAAAGTGTAGTGTGCACAGTGTAAAGTATAGTGTGCACAGTGTAGAGTGTAGTGTGCACAGTGTAAAGTGTAGTGTGCACATTGTAAAGTGTAGTTTGTAGCAGTGTAAAGTACAGAGTGCACAGTATAAAGTGTACACTTGACGTACAAGACAGAGACTAAGAACATCAACATGCACGTTGACTCTTCAAGGGCGTGCTTCGATTCCGGTGAAGGGATCTTGATCGAAGGATGTAGAGATACTCCTCACCTTCCATGCTTCAAACCTGATTACCTTCCATTCTCAAGACACGTATATGTACCTATAATGTATCCCTCAATCCTCATGTATTGTATACTCATTCTCTGTACATATGAACATAAGAAAAAAGAAGTACTGCAGCAGGCCTACTGGCCCATAAGCAAGCATCAGACCCATAGCCCAAGCCAGTCAGGTCCAAATCACACTCAACCGAACCCACATCAATGTATTCTTTAAGCCTTGTGTATCATATTTGATAATAAAACATCTTATCTGTGCATTTACCCACTCCCTCCAACCTTTCCTAGGACGACTCTTATCCCTTCCCTCCCTCCTATCCATCCCAGATTTATACCTCCTAATGGTTATCCTATTTTCCTCCATCCTCTCCAAACATGCATCCCACCTCCTCCTACTCTACAAACTTTGAATTATCTGCATAATATTCACACCACACATTGCCCTCAAACACATCTCTACTGGAAGAAGTAGGTGAAGCCCTGTGTGCTGCACCAGCTACGATACACACACCGCATGCATCAGATACAATGATATTCCATAATGCTGGAAAGCTTTACAACGTAGTACTAGTGAGGAAGGTAACTAGTGAAACCAGTCGTATGATTCAAGAGCTAGGCCTGAAGAGACTCGGCCTCTGTAACTATAAACAGGTGAATACACCAACCACACACACACACACACCACCAAACACACCACACACACATGCACACACCACTCACACCACACATCACACACCCAAAACCCCAACAAACACAATCACCTTCTTCTTCCTGAAGAATATGGAGCCTCTTTTTCTTCTCTTGTTGGAGGAGTCGTCTTCATATTGGTAGCTGGACCTGCAAGGAGACCACACTCACTGATCTGTACTTCCTCCTGACCTTACCGCTGACCTCACTATTGTCCTGACTACTGACATCACTACTGACTCCTGAACAAACATTAGTACCAGTGTTGGTGATCCTAATATTAGCACCAGTGTTGATGATACTAACATCAGTTTCAGTGTTGGTGATCCTAACATTAGTACCAGTGTTGGTGATCCTAACATTAGTACCAGTGTTGGTGATCCTAACATTAGTTCCAGTGTTGGTGATCCTAACATTAGTACCAGTGTTGGTGATCCTAACATTAGTTCCAGTGTTGGTGATCCTAACATTAGTACCAGTGTTGGTGATCCTAACATTAGTTCCAGTGTTGGTGATTCTAACATTAGTACCAGTGTTGGTGATCCTAACATTAGTACCAGTGTTGGTGATTCTAACATTAGTACCAGTGTTGGTGATCCTAACATTAGTACCAGTGTTGGTGATCCTAAGATTAGTACCAGTGTTGGTGATCCTAAGATTAGTACCAGTGTTGGTGATCCTAAGATTAGTACCAGTGTTGGTGATCCTAACATTAGTACCAGTGTTGGTGATCCTAAGATTAGCACCAGTGTTGGTGATCCTAACATTAGTACCAGTGTTGGCGATCCTAACATTAGTACCAGTGTTGGTGATCCTAACATTAGTACCAGTGTTGGTAATCCTAACATTAGTACCAGTGTTGGTGATCCTAACATTAGCACCAGTGTTGGTGATCCTAACATTAGTACCAGTGTTGGTGAGCCAAACATTAGTACCAGTGTTGGTAATCCTAACATTAGTACCAGTGTTGGTGATCCTAACATTAGTACCAGTGTTGGTAATCCTAACATTAGTACCAGTGTTGATAATCCTAACATCAACTCCAGTGTTGGTGATCCTAACATTAGTACCAGTGTTGGTGATCCTAAGATTAGTACCGGTGTTGGTGATCCTAACATTAGTACCAGTGTTGGTGATCCTAACATTAGTACCAGTGTTGGTAATCCTAACATTAGTACCAGTGTTGGTGATCCTAACATTAGTACCAGTGTTGGTGATCCTAACATTAGTACCAGTGTTGGTGATCCTAACATTAGTACCAGTGTTGGTAATCCTAACATTAGTACCAGTGTTGGTGATCCTAACATTAGCACCAGTGTTGGTAATCCTAACATTAGTTCCAGTGTTGGTGATCCTAACATTAGTACCAGTGTTGGTGATCCTAACATTAGCACCAGTGTTGGTGATCCTAACATTAGTACCAGTGTTGGTGATCCTAACATTAGTACCAGTGTTGGTGATCCTAAGATTAGTACCGGTGTTGGTGATCCTAACATTAGTACCAGTGTTGGTGATCCTAACATTAGTACCAGTGTTGGTGATCCTAAGATTAGTACCGGTGTTGGTGATCCTAACATTAGCACCAGTGTTGGTGATCCTAAGATTAGTACCAGTGTTGGTGATCCTAACATTAACATCAGTGTTGTGCCCGCCTCAGTGTACTATAAAAACTGTTCTGATTGGCCAGCCAGACGTGACGTCAGACGTGTAATGATGCATAAACTGCTGAATACAATGATGGCTGGCGGCCAATAAACAACCTGGTCGCAACTATTCAAAATTATAAATATATGAATGTAACTGTTAGAGCGAAGTGATGGAGAGAAGTGCGTCTGATCCCATCCTACTGCACAACACTGACACTCTTAACTATCTCTCACTATTTACTATGTATCTCTTACTATTTACTAAGTATATCTCACTCTTCACCGTCTCATACTATCTCTCTATTCACTAGATATCTCTATGTCTATTTACTAGGTCTCTCTCATTAAGTATATATCTACTCACTAGGTATCTCTCACTAAGTATCTCTCTATTCACTAGATATCTCTCACTTAGCATCTCTTTTCACTAGGCATTTCTATTCACTAGATGTAAGAATATAAGAAAGGAGGAACACTGCAGCAGACCTGTTGGCCCATGCTAGGCAGGTCCTTCACAAATCTAATCGACTAACAGAACACTTGTATCTAAGTATCTCTCTCTTCACTATCTCTCAGTATCTATTTACTAGGTATCTCACTATTTACTAGGTATCTCTCACTATTTACTAAGTATCTATTTATTAGGTATCTCTCACTATTTATTTACTAGGTATCTCTTACTATTCACTATCTCCCACTATTCACTTATCTCACTATTCACTAAGCATCTCTCACTACTCACTATCTCCCTCTATTCACTAGGTATTTCCCACTATTCACTTATCTCACTATTCACTAGGTATCGCCCCCTATTCATTACCTCCCACTATTATCTCACTATTCACTAGGTATCTCCCACTATTCATTATCTCCCACTATTCATCACACTATTCACTAGGTATCTCCCACTATTCACTAGGTATCTCCCACTATTCATTATCTCCCACTATTATCACACTATTCATTAGGTATCTTCTACTATTCACTAGGTATCTCCCACTATTATCACACTATTCACTAGGTATCTCCCACTATTCATTATCTCCCACTATTATCACACTGTTCACTAGGTATCTCCCACTATTCACTAGGTGTCTCCCACTATTTCCTATCTACTAAGACCCGGGTCAGAAAACACTTGTCCTGTTTGCTGACGAATCTTACCCAACTTAACCTATGGCTAATACGCGTCTTCAGCTTGTGCGTCCTCTTCTTCCCATCTAAGCTGCCAATTTATCAGTAAACTTTACACAAAGTAATCATATCTCCTTCAGGGTCTTCAGTTCAGAGAATAGTTTTGTTGCAAACCTTTGGCCCTTCCCGAGCTTCTATATTCGATGAGCCCTGGGCTCAACGCTGGGGCTGCGTACTCTATGAGGAGCCTTAAGCATAGCATGTGAAGTGTCCTGAAGGAGTCTTTGTTCACGTTTCTGAATGATGTTGAGACATCTGCAAGTCTGGTAACTGGTGACGGAGTAATGGAAGAGAAGGGGGAGAGATGGGAGGGGAGGAGAATATTGAAGATGGGAGGGGGAGGACAATGTTGGAGATAGGAGGGGGAGGACAATGTTGGGATGGGAGGGGGAGCAGGAAGGGCAAGAGAGGGAAGGTCGAGAGGAAATATTGCTTTAAGTTAGAGGCGCCATACTCGGCAGCGATCTTGTTAAAATTAATATGTTGCATGTGTTGTATAGTCAGATGCAGGTTTGTATAGTCAGCTGGAGGTGATAAGAAGATCTCACATTCAATGTTGCTATTGCTACAGCAAGGAAAATGACAGACTGAATAACTAGAACTTTCAAGACAAGAGATGCTCAATCAGTGATGATACTCTTCAAGTAACTTCTTGTCCGCAGTCTAGGATACTGCTCTATACTAACGGCCACTTTCAAGATAGGCGAGATTACTGAGTTGGAAAACGTACATAGAAATTTCACTGCTTGTATGCACGCAATCAAGTATCTCAACTACGGAAAGCACTTGAAGTCGCCTTAATTGCATTCCTTGGAACGTAGGCGAAAAAGGTACATAATATACACCTGGAAAATCCTGGAGGGACTGGTCCCAAACCTGAACACCGAAATCACTTAGTATGGCAAGAAGAGACCTGGCAGACAGTGCCAACTATCTACACCAAAAACAGGGACGCGACGAGTGCACTGCGAGAGAACTCGAGAGGTTCCCGACTCTTCAGTGCCTCGGCCCAGTGTACATAACAGCCTTGGTCTAGTATACATAACCTCAGTCTAGTCTATATGACACAGCCTCGACCCAGTATAAATAAAGCAATGCATAAATATCAACTGACTTGCAAGACTGTGTACACTTACTGATTTGTACACACACACACACACACACACACACACACACACACACACATCACTAGAGGTACACATAAACCATAAACCGTATCGCATTTGAATTTGCCAGACCAGCAAATCTCAGGACAACATTCAGAGAGCTGAATTATGAATCCTTCAGAACACTTTACACGCCAGATGTACGGACATAAAGTATACATCAACAGCGTGGAGGTCCCGACTACCTGTGACGAGCTTCCAGAGTCTTCCTGCACCAGCAGCCCGGCCTGGGCTGCTCAAACACGTTTATAAACTTGCCAAGGTCAGAAAGTTTGAAACAAATACTCATCCTGGACTGGCGAGGAATGAACTTAAAATGCACAAGAGGTGAACCTCCCAGAGGACCAAGAGGATAGGGAAAGAAATATGATTACAATATAAATAATTCGAAGAGAAGCCAACAGAGTAGACAAAATAGAAAGGGTACACAAACGCAGTATAATACCATCCTTTATCGACGACGTTTCGCCCACACGTCATAAATAAATAGCATTTGACTGTATTCATGTCTCTTCCATCTTGTAGGTATTTTATACATAACCGAGTAGATAAATTAGACACATGTGCAACTCTTGGGTATCTTTATTGAGGAAACGTTTCGCCACACAGTGGCTTCATCAGTTCATACAAAGGAGAATCTTGAAGAATAGGAGGAAAATGAGGTAATCAGTCCCTCAACCTTGAGTCGATGTGGTCAGTCCATCAATCTTGAAGCCACTGTGTGGCGAAACGTTTCCTCAATAAAGATACCCAAGAGTTGCACATGTGTCTAATTTATCAACATGTCGGTTCTCTGAACCATTCATCTAATAACCGAGTAGACAGAAAGAGAACACTGGCAGCAGCACTAACAACACACGACAAAAAATTTTGAAAGGTTTCACAGTCACTAAATTACTGACTTACTGGAGATACCTGAGCTACACAACTCAAGCTAGGATAGATATAGAGCCGGAAAATCCTGCCTAATCACAACTAATACATCACTATGACAAAATTACAGCGGTCTTAGAAGGAAAACAAAACGCTGATGTAATCTACGATTATTCTGTAAAGGCATTTGACAAATGGGTCTACTGAGCACTAACTCGTATACTGAAGCCAATACGTATAGCAGGAAAAGTAAAGAAGGATAAATTACACACATTATTTTCAAGACTGATGGACTGATTACATCGACTCCAGGCTGAGGGATTTATTACCTCAATTTCCTTCTGATCTTCACTATTCTTCTTTGTATGGACTGAT